TAAGAAGTCGGTGTGTGTGTGTGTGTGTGTGTGTGTGTGTGTGTGTGTGTGTGTGATGGAATAGTACTCAGCCATAAAAAAAGAATAAAATAATGCCATTTGCAGCAACATAGATGGACCTGGAGATCATCATACTAAGTGAAGTAAGCCAGAAAGAAAAAGAAAAATACCACATGATATCACTTATATGTGGAATTAAAAAAAAAAAGGACACAGATGAACTTCTTTACAAAACAGAGACAGATTCACAGACATAAAAAACAAACTTATGGTTACCAGGGGAGAAAGGGGGTGGGGAGGGGATAAAATGGGAATTTGAGATTTGCAGATACTAACTACCATATATAAAACAGATAAACAACAAGGTCCTATTGTATAGCATGGGAAACTATATTCGATACCTTGTAATAGCCTATAATGAAAAAAGAGTATGAAAAGGAATACATGTATGTATAATTGAATCACTATGCTGTACACCAGAAATTAACACAACATTGTAATTCACCTATACTTCAATAATAAAAGAGAAAAAAATATTTCCTTTAGGAGTTGAATTTTGGATATGCTTTACTAAAAATGAAAAAGATATAACACTGAAATTAGGACCCTGAAATAATTGTCATGGTGTCGAGCATCAGAATGCAGTCAAAGTAACACAGAATGAACTATTAAAGTCTAAATTCTGCCATTACTTCTTTTGCAAAACGACTGATATTAGCAGAACGGTTGTGAACAAAGCCAAAGAAATTTTGTCTTTACAGTCATCTCACCTGCGTGAGAAAAGTGCTTCTTTTGGACCCTCAAATGGCTACTTTACTTACCATTTGGAAGCTTTAGAAGAATCTAAGTTACCATCAATTGGAGTCGTTAACACGTGGTGGTGTACAACATTTAAATACTTCTCAATGTGAATCTGTTACAGAAAAGTGAAAGTTTAGGCCATTAGAGTGGACTTAAGATCCTCAGCTAATTTACTCCATTTCATGAGGTTAACCCTCTGAATGGTGTAATTAAGCCAAAAGACACAACACGCTACGTGTTTATTACATGCCTGAGGTATCATTATGCATCTCAAAGCCAAATTACTTTATCCCAAAAAGCATAATAAACAATTGAGACTCAAAGCTTAAGTGACCTGTAGCACTTGTCACAAATTAAACTGCACACCTAGCCAGGGAAGCTCGCTATGCAATACAGATGTGGGGTAATGTCTTTCTCTTACAGGGACTTTAAGCAAGCACCTGAGGAACGAGTCTGGCCTTTAGGTAACAGATTACTTAAAACGGCCAACCCAAAGACTCCAGCGGGGTCCAGCCTCTCCCCATCAGGTAATACAGGACAATGGCATGCTTGTCTGATGGGGCAACAGGATTTAGCACCTCTTACAGCCCAGGAGCTGAGCTAGGAAGCTAATAACATGGTAGAGTGGAGGTCGGAAACAACAGCAGAGGCCCGGATGGGTAGAGGCTAGAGGATGGAGATGGTCTTTATTTGGCCCCATGTGCAAATAGACCCTTGTTCTATGTATGATAGTCTTCCTCATCTGAAGATTGGATTCTCGTGTGCCCTTGGATCTGTCTGTCAAGATGAAATGCCTACCTACTTTATTTCTCTGTTTCCAAATTGATATATTTCTTTTACATTTCCCATGTGATGGACCAGATTACAATACTACGAAAGTGACTAACCTCAAAATACAGAAGCTATTAGGGAAAAGTAAACGTTTATTTTTGAGAACCCCAGGGAATCTGACGGAAACTCTCTGCAGGGTATCGGTATGAACCTTTTTTGTCAGGCATACTGTGGGGCTGATAGTAGCTATTGTTAAAATCTGAAATTCTTTTTATCAAACCACGCTTGAGGGGTTATCACTGCATAATCACATACTATCAATGCCTCAAATTCTTTGTGGAATGTGACAGGATGTAAATCAATCAATCAATCAATCAGTTAATAATTGGTTTTTAAAAGGGAACAGAATCGGGAAGCTGCTGGCCAACGAAGCCCACCTCCATGACAGATTTCCACAGGGGCCGGTGAGAGCCACAATTCTCTTCTTCTGGAGGAAACTGTCTCCTTGCAGGATCTTATTTAACATCTAAAGCTTTACTCACCTTTAACCCCATTTCAGTCCTTTTGATTGCCGTTTCAAGATTCTGAATGTCTAGAGTCTCGCCTCTTTCCTCAGGTGAAAATTGGGTTAATTTCTCCTTTAATTGATGAAGATCTTCATGGACCTGGTGGTAGAAAAATATAAAATATCGAAAGAATACATATACAATCCACCTAAAACAGTTTTTTTTAAAGTTTTAGTTTGCTTGAATTGCTAGGGACAATAAGGTTGATTTTAAGCATGGCATTCATTAAACAGGACTGTCTTTATGGTTCTGAGATGTGTTCCATTCTGTCTGGATCTTCCCACTTACTTCTCTGAAGAAGCTGTTCTGTAGGTGTGGCCTTAGTTTTGTTTGATGGAGTCAGAAATGAAAATGATCCATGAAGAAAGAGCAACATCACATTATTCCTTTAACATGTTACTTTAATTTGTATTTTCCTGGGAAAGGATGAGCACCCTCAGAATCAAATGGGCATTAGGAAATGAGACAGCTCAAGACTCTCTGCATTCATATTAGAAAGCAACCTTCAACAGATAAATACAGATGGCACCAATTATTGTATGGGCTGCTGCCACAAGAGAAACATTTTGTTATGCAAATTTATGAACAAAACACCTGTTACCGCAATAGTCACACCACTAACAATCTGCAGACTGGGTTGCTAAAGGCATTTGGAAACAGTTACCTTTTCTCTGTTAATACAGCTGGACCTACACAGTGATCCAGCCTATGTTATTGATTATTCTCGAATATTCCCGAGGAGCCAAGTATTCAAAAGATCAGAAGATTTGCATCTTTTCACTGATGGGCATCACAGCCTGGCAGACACATCTGGTCACTTTACAGATGATCGTGTAAAGCCTTCGAGGCTCACAGATTGAAGTCTGAACACACCTAATGTCTGCTCGTAGGCACTGAGGATGAAGAGGTACTTCTTTTGATTGTTTTGTCCAAATTTCTGCTGCAACCTGATTTGCTATCTGTGGTCCAAAGACATTTGGAAAATACAAAGAGGCAATTCTAGGCCAAGCCCACTTCTGGGCTACCTCTCAGAATAGTGGTGAGAATAAAATGAGTTTAATTGTGTAAAGCGCTTTGTACAGGGCCAGCCACATAGGAGGGCACTGAACAAATGTTAATTCTCTTCTTCTAAATTGTGAAACCCGGGGAAATGCCTTGCTTATAACTGGCACTTAGTAAATGCTCATTGATTCGAATTGCTCTCAGTCTTTCTCAAGAGTTTTTTACGTTCTTTGCCAGATAGTTTAATTGCAGTAGAGACAAGTACTGTAGGAAATGTTTTACTAGACTTGAGAGAAAAGAGATTAAGTTCTAAATCTCCGTTCTTTCTTCAAATAGATCCTATCTACCATATTGAAATTTTATGTGTCACTCATCATCTCTGTGATCATCAAATGCATTTCCCACTTGGACGAAGGTTATTATTTTGACAGTTTAGGGACGGGGCTGCTTAATAAGGAGCCCTTGAAAGATTTAATGCAGAAGAGATTTGCTCTGGAATTTAAAAGAGCCATGCAAACAGGCTCCAGATTGTCAAAAGCAGTGTCATAATTCCATTTTATTCATCTCGGCTAAAGATCGAGTGTGGCTGAGTCATGCTCATTGCCTCCCCATTCATTTTTATGTCATATGCTCCTGGCAAACCAGACAGAGGGATTGATGGGAAAGACAGGGGTAATATTAAGCTATCAATTAGCAACACTATTTCCAAGGTTGGTGTCTATGCACAACTGTTGGGTTTTTGAAATATGATTTCCAAAACTAATTAACAAGCTCATTTGATTGCCAGACTTGATAATCCTTGTTGCATAAACATAGGTTTAATATTTGGGTCAAACAAATAGTTATAAAGTATAAAGATACCACATTCTTATTAGTAAAGTATAAAGACAGAGCCTCTAAGATTTAACAGTAAAAGAAAACGTATGAGAAACTTCCCAGAGTTACCACTGCACTTCTCCCAGACTGTTTCACGAATGTGCTGTTACCTGTTTAAGGATCAGCACACACTGGATTTATTACTTTGGGTGAGTTACTTTACCTCTTTGTAGTTTAGTTTCTTGTTCTGTAAACTGGAACTCAGACTAATACCTGCCGACTAGAGTCGCTGTCGGGAGACAGTCCATCTAAGACCTCAGCACGGGGTCTGGCTCTAGTTCAGTTGTAAGAATGATGATTATTATTATAGCAAAACTTCACTACTCTGATTTGTTGAGGAAAGACCTAGCTACAATTGTAAAAAGGAGACTTTTACAATTATAGGCTTGAGAGTGAAAAAATCAAGTAGCTAACAAAATGCTGCCTAATCGAGCTCCAGGTGGAGACGGTAATCATATTTCCTGAACCAGAAATGAAAACGTGGGTTTTGATACATGATCTGATTGGGACAGATGATTCACAATCAGGACTACCCTGGAAATTACAAACATAGAAAGTACATATTTTCTTAATGAGTCACAGGAAGAGCACTGATTATTTGTATTTAAAGATTGTTCTCTTAAGTATTTTAGATATTTACTCAGAATATTATTTTTAGTATTAATTTGTGCCGTCTATTATGTTTTCTAAGTAATAATAATGTTAGTCCAGCTGCATCCATTTTTGAACAGAACATAAATTACTGGACACTGAGTTAATGAGTAGATCGTTATCCAGGCACCCAGGATCTACGGGCCCAGTCCTGTGATGGGTCAAGTTGGATATCCAAAAAGTCAGCTCGTAACAGTGAAACAAGGCATATCTTATTTGCCAAGTAGCATCACCCTCAGAGTTCTAGTTAACAATGGAGTAGTTTTGGTGAAAAAGACAGCTTAAAATTAATTTTTCCTTTCCTTTCAGCAACTTAGAGTAAAAAAGCAGGGTAATCTTAAAAAGACACAAATACATGGGCAGAAGACCTAAACAAGCAATTCTCCAGTGAAGACATACGAATGACCAATAGGCACATGAAAAAATACTCAATATCACTAATTGTCAGAGAAATGCAAATCAAAACTCCAATGAGGTATCACCTCACACCAGTCAGAATGGCCATCATTCAAAAGTCCACAAATGACAAACGCTGGAGAGGCTGTGGAGAAAGGGGAACCCTCCTACACTGCTGGTGGGAATGCAGTTTGGTGCAGCCACTGTGGAAAACAGTGTGGAGATTCCTCAAAAGACTAGAAATAGACTTACCATATGACCCAGCAATCCTGCTCCTGGACGTATCTCCAGAAGGGACCCTACTTCAAAAAGACACCTGTACCCCAATGTTCATAGCGGCACTATTTACAATAGCCAAGACATGGAAACAGCCTAAATGTCCATCAACAGATGACTGGATAAAGAAGAAGTGGTATATTTATACAATGGAATACTATTCAGCCTTAAAAATGACAACATAACGCCATTTGCAGCAACATAGATGGACCTGGAGATCGTCATTCAAAGTGAAGTAAGCCAGAAAGAGAAAGAAAAATACCATATGATTATCACTTATATGTGGAATCTAAAAAAAAAAAACAGAAGAAGAAGAAGACAAATGAACTTAAATATAAAACAGAAACAGACTCATAGACATAGAATACAACCTTGTGGCTGCCGGGAGGAGGAGGGTAGGAAGGGACAGACTGGGAGTTCAAAATTTGTAGATACTGACAGGTATATATATATAATAGATAACAAGTTTGTACTGTATAGCACAGGAAAATACATACAAGATCTTGTGGTAGCTCATGGTTAAAAAGAACATGGCAATAAATATATGTATATTCATGTATGACTGAAAAATTGTGCTCTACACTGGAAATTGACACAACATTGTAAACTGACTATAACTTAAAACAAAGACACAAACACATACACAAACTAGAGTGTTAAAAGAGTAAGAGACCAGACCTAATAACAGCTGACATCTACTGAGTGTTATACTTCATGTGTTATCCTATATTTTAATCTCTATGAGACTCCTAAGAGGGAGTTCATGTTCACTCCTAAGAGGGAGGTAATATACCTTCATTTCATACTTGAGGAATCTGAGATTTAAAGTGGGTAAGTGCAAGGTTAACCCGTGCAAGGTAACACAGCTCGTTAAGTGGTGGAACTATTCAAATCTATGCAGTCTGGATCCAAAGACTTCATGGCTTACCATTAACCAGTACATGCATAATATCTACAAATATACAAGTGTATATTTGTAAATATACAAAGCTAAAGGTTGGTGAAATTTCAGGGAAAAATGCAGGATTTAAATCTCGAAAGGAGCAAAAAGAAGCAAGGGAAGACTTTCCTTTCATACCAGGATTGACGGATTGAAAAGGTTTAAGAAGATTGCTTGCATTTTCTGTGTACATGAGTCTACCCACAATGCTCATCTTTAGTCAGTTTCCATTCTGTAACATGAAATAATAATAGTACGTATCTGATAGCTTTGTTGTAAGGGTTAAATGAGTTAAAAAATACATAGCACTTAGAACCGTGCATGATACCTGGTAAATACTGTGTTAGCTTTGATTTTTCTTTGCAATCATATAAAAGTTTATATTTTACAGTATGATCTGAAGTAATAGCTCTCAAACTTGACTGTGTATTAGAGTCACCTGAAAGTCTTGTACAAACATCGCTGCCCTTCCCCTGCCCCACCGCCCCCAGAACTTTTGATTTAGTAGGTCTGGCCTGGGGTCTGAGAATTCGCATTTCTTAGACGTTCCCAGTTGGTGCTGATGCTGCTGGTCCCAGGACTGTGCTTAGAGAACCACTGGTCTAAAGAGCTGTTTAACCTATTTCATTGAGACACAGACCTAATATATTAGGGTAAAGCAAGGAGAGATTTGAATTAAGCATCTCTGCTTTTATTGTTTAGAAAAATACATACACAATATATGTATAAAGAAACTATTTGATTGCCTAGGCTAACAGTAAAGGAAGCCCACTTTACAGTAAAGAACAATTACGTATCTTGGGGGAAATTGGGTCAATTTAGTCAGAGGTGGTTCTCATCTAAGCTATGTAACTAACAGAAGAGAAAAACTGAGGTCCAGAGAGGTGAAGTGACTAGCTCACAGTTACCCACCTGGCAAAGACGTTGCCAAGGTCAGACCTCAGTATTCCAACTTGCCTACCTAAGCATCCTTTTCTGTAGATGTACGGCCTGTTGGGAGCCTGTGTGAAGGGAACTGATCACAGCTCCAGGTCAAAGTGGACCCACGTTGGCATGTCTGAGTGTGCTGACACGCTCACACAAATTCAGGTCATAGGGGAAAAACAGAGCGGGTCTTACACATTTCCTCAGTATACATATTCTACATAGTACCAGGGAGAATTTGATACTGTATCAAGATCAGCCTCAATATAACCAGGTTAACATGTAGCCTCTCCTTCTCTGCACTTAGTGTGTACAAAATAACCCTTTCAAGCAAGCGAGGATGCTGATCAATATGGATATGACTATTCTTAGCTCTTCCCAAAGAGAGGTCTGGCCTTTGCCCTTGGACACTGGGAGGTGATCTCTAGGCCCCTGGAGGGCCCTGCTTGATAGTGGTGTCTTTTATGATAGGGGCTTTCAGCCATGCTGTCAGTTCCAACCTCTAGAGGAGTTAGACTGAAATCATTAGTCTGTCCTCTGGGAAGGACTGAAAACTAAAAGTCAGCCAAATGGGCAGTGTGATCGAGCCCCAATAAAAACTCTGGATGCTAATATCTTGGGAAAGCTTCCCCAGTTGGCAATAATCTATGCATGTTGTTGCACATCATGGTTGGAAGGAGGTAATGCTCTCCATGACTCCACAGGGAGAAGATGGCAGAAGCTGCACTTAGACCCCTCCTGGATCCTGCCCTAAGCATCTCTTCACTCGGCTGATTTTAATCTGTATCCTTTTGCTATAATACCACGATAATTGTAAGCATGGTGCTTTCCTGAGTTTGAGAGTCTCTGTAGCAAATTAGCCAATGTGAGGTGGTGGGGCCCCCCAAATATGTAGAGAGTTGATCTGAAGTGAGGTTGGTTCTAGGGACCCTGAACTTG